CGCTGCTGTTCTCTACTCCACACCCCGTACACTGTCAGCAGCTTGCGGCTAGCACGGTTGTGCTCCACGCCTCGCGGGAAAAGGGCCTCTTTTGGGACCCGCCTCTGGAATGGGCCCCCAAAGGGCCCATTCAGGCCCCTTTCCTTCACCCCCCGTTTAGGTCACCCCTAAAAAAACGAAAAAGCGCCATGACCATAAACTTTTGGCGCTCCGCGCGGATTTCTTGGATCTGCGCTGTACCCGCCTCCCTGAGCGCGCCAGGGGCGGCGCTGGAGGCGATTCGATTCGATGCCGGTGGCTTCCGATTCCGATGTTTATTCGACTTCGGATTCCTATTTGGGCTCCGATTTCTCCTTGGAGGCTTGCTGAACTGCCGATTTCCGCCGATGCGACTTTTCCCGATTCGGCTGCCGAACTCCGCCGATCCGACCGATTTCGACCGCCGATCCGACTTACCGATTTGCTTCTGGGCGCTGGGGGAGGAGCATCGACCTGGAATCGGCGACGCATCGCCGACAGGCCACCGGCAGCGAAACCACCCGCTCCCGGGCTGGGTGGGCCACGGGGCCCCTGCCGGCGATCAGTGGGCGATATTGGGGGTCGACGCATCTGCCCCTGAGCGCATCCCCCCGGGGCCCCTATCGTTGCCCCTGACGATCCTCTGGAGCATACCAATGGAGGACAAGTCCGGGCGAGCGGTGCGCCTTCGGGCGCTCGCTGTCGTCGCCCTCCTCCCTCCTCCCTCCTCTCTCGGCCCTCCTCCTGGACCACCTGGCTTCGCGCATCAGACCCAGCGATGCGCGACGCGCGACCCGCCATCGCGCCGCCCCCGTGGAGTGGGGCCGCCGTTCCGGCCCCCGGGCGCGACGCGCAGGAGCGCACTTCTCATCGTGCCCCTCGGGATGACCCAGCCTCCTCCTTCGGAAAAAGCGGCACGGCTACCAGGGACCACGAGCGCGGGGAGCCAGGGAGACCCCCTGGCGGTGTGGTCCCCCCCTAATCACGCGAGACGTCCCCTCATCCCCTGCTCGGGGAGGCATCGTGGACGTCCGCGCTGGAGGTGGCCCCTCTGGTGGCGGTGGCGGTGTCGCTTCTCCCTCCCTTGATGTGGGCTCTCGTCTTGAAAGGCCGTTACTCAAGATTTCGTAAGAAAGGGGAGGGGGTCACAACCCTCTCAGACGAGAAGTTTTAGACCCCCACAGACCATCCACGAAAGAGCGGCCCTTTGCCCAGATCCCCCCCGAACCCTCAAGACAGCTCAAATCAGAACCCCCCCCAAATGTGACCCCCACCACATTATTGTGGAATGCGGAGTACCCGAAGCACAAAGGTGTTCCGCTGACGGCAGATGTCCTTGCCTTCGAGTGATCTTGATGGCAGGGGCATGGCCATGTGAAACTGAAGGGGAACTGGGAAACACACAAACAAATACACACACACACATAAAACTATCCCCCATAGTTTCCCACATCTTCTGGGTGTTTGTCTCCCCCCCCCACTTCCCACACTTTCCCATATTTTCCTGGGGATCGCCGATGAATTGTGTCTGTGTGTGTTTCTTCCCCTCTTGGTAAACACCTGCTCGCCCCGGGGGGCAGGCGGCACAGCCGCGCGCCGCTCCCTGCGGCCCCGTGCACGCGCCCGGCAGACTCCCGAGGGGCCATCCCGTCGAGCCTGACCTCTGTGCGAAAAAACACACACACAGCCTGTGGGAAAAAACACACACTGTGGGAAAACATACACACAATCTGTGGGAAAAAACCACACACACACACACGCACGCACGCACGCACACACACACACACACACACAAAAAAAAAAAACACACATACACAAAACACACACACACACACACACACTGTACACAATGGGTGGGGGAAAAATCCACACACACACACACAAAACACACACACACACAACACACACACAGTGGGAAAACAACACACTGTTGGAAAACAACACACCTGTGCGGAGAACAAAAAGCACTGTGGGAAAACAAAAAACACCTATGGGAAACAACACACACACACAGGTGTGTTTTGTTCCAACAGGTGTGTCTTTTCCCACAGATGCCGCTGGACTCGGCTCGACACGCCCGTCTGCCTCTGCGGACACTGTGCCTCTGCGGACACTGTGCCTCGTCGCGGCCGGAAGCCACACCCGTACCTGTAAGACCACCCTTCGGGTGACAAGATAAGGAGGTTCTCGGGGGTGAAGAAGCCAACGTCTCACTCGATGGATCTCACGATGGATCTCACGATGGATCTCACTATCGATTTCGCAATCGATCTTACGATCGATCTCAATATTGAGCTCACTGTCGATCTCACTATCGATCTCACTATCGGTCTCACTATCCGCCTCGCTGTCGATCTCACCATCGATCTCACCATCGACCTGACATTCCATCTCACGATCATCGATCTCGCCATCGACCTCACGGGGCACCACGGGACACCGCGCCACGGGACACCACGGGCCACCGCGGGCCACCGCGGGACTGACACCACGGGGCACCGCGGGCCACCCTCGAGACACCACAGCGAGATACCCCCCCCCCGCCATCGCCGCCAAACCCGAGGGGGGGGGGCGGACCTCCTGCCCGGCGGCGCTCCAGCCAGAGGAGGGCTCACTGCTCTCTTGCCCGCCCCCGCTGCCTCGCCTCGCCAGCACGCGCGACGCGAACACGAAAGCGAAACCCGATGTCCTGGTGGGGGGCGCTCTGTTTCACTGCGATCTCACCCCCTCGCCTGGGATCCACGGTCTCGCGGGCTGGGCCCCTGGGCCGCGGCCCCGTGGATGCGGGGACGTCTTTTCGCGGATGCCCCGCGCGGAACGTAGAGGTGCGACGGGGTATCCAACGAATCGCGCACTGGAATCCAGACCGCGAGGGCGTGGATATGGATACGTTCACGGCTCCTGGTCGCGGCCGCGCAGCAAATCCTCCCCGTGTCCTTGAGCATAGAGATGATGCCGTCCGGGGCGTTGCTGGGGTCCGCGATGCCAGTGTAGGAGGCGTCCCAGGTCGAGGGGTGCTGCGGCGGGTGCGGCGCCGTCCGCGCTGGACACCCCACGATGCAGGCTCGATTTGGGCACAAGAAGGATCAAGGGCAGAAGCGACAATGCCAACAGCACTGGCGGGGGATGGAGGGGAAGGCAAGGCAGCAGACATGTGTCGACGTGAATGTTGATTCTGCATTGCTGGTGCGCGTGGGCATCGAGCCACGGATGGCGAAGGGTCGAACGTCGTAACTTGGCAGCTGGCGCGAGGCCTCCTCCGCTGCGTTTCACTCACACGCTTGGCCCCGAGGCCAGACCCACGGCTCGAAGATCGACTCTCGCCGGGGTCTGATCATCGTTAACTGATGCAAGAGCGGCGGAGCCACAAATAGTCCGCCCGGTACTGTTGCTGCTATGATCCCAGATGCTTCCAATATCAACACCGCTGCTTCTTCTGCTGGTGCTACAAACCTCGGCACATTAACATCACATGTTGCTGACGCACCCCTTCAATGTCACCCCCATTTCGCCCCGTCAATGTCGCCCCTCTTCACTGTCGAAACAGAAGGAAACATGGTCTGGGCTGGTGCGACTCGGAGGTTCCAAGATTACCAGCACCGGTGATGGTGGCGCCCACAACTACTTCGCACACGCTGCCACCCGTACCCGGAACAGAACATGTACGAGCAAATTCCGTCATGCGCTTTTGTATTTAGCTTTATGTCGGGCGTGTCCCCCTACAGGGGAATTTTCGACGGAAAAAAATACACCAAAAATGCACCATAATGGCAACAAAATGCTCAAAGAATAGTCCCCAGACTATTTTTGGACCATTTCTTGATTATTTTTGGGGCATTTGTTGTTTTTCGTGGAAAATCCCCCTGTAAGGGGACAGGCCCGACTTACATTTAGCTCCGCAGAGGCAGTGCCAGCACCTCGGGGAAACATGGTTCCCCGCGGTCCGGCCGGTGCCCGACTTTGCCGGGCACCCGCGGGCGCCCCGTGGGCTCACACCCTATCGCTCAGCACATCTTACCTCGTACAGGGCAGGTTTTAATGCATAGGAGTTTAAAAACAGCAACATCGGATTTTTAATGCATGATTGATGTGTGAGTAAATGTGTGCATGCACTCATCGTTGTTTCTTGGGGCTCTCTTGGAGACCTCTTGGGCCGTCTTGGGGCTCTCTTGGAGGCCTCTTGGGCCATCCTTGAGCGCCGGGAAGCCGAACAGATGAGAACGCCAAGATCCTTCAAAAACCGAAGGGGGGACAACTATGGTTTTTGCCTCCTGGTTCCCTCTTGAAACGCTTCTTCGAGGCTTCTTTGGGCGTCTTTTGGGCGTCTTGGACCGATCGGTCGGCGACTCGGAGCCCTCTTGGACCGTCTTGGGGACATTTGGGGCCCTCTGGGAAAGCTCGGGGGCGCCTGAAAGCCGCGCCCAAAAGGAAAACCTATCTCTGGGGGGTACCTGCCCGGTTATTTTTCGTCCAAGGGCCCCCAAAGGCCGCCCCGCGCGCGCGAACTAGAGATACTGATTACCAGTCGCTGGAGATCTTGGCAGGCCTCTGGCCCGTTGGGCCGGCGAATTGCACCGCATGCTCCTCCACATCCCTGATCAATGCAACTCGCCTGGGTGGGATTACGCGAAGCGTCTAGAATCAGAACCGTATGTGCAAGCAGTGCCTGGGGAACAAGAGAGATGATGCGTACTGAACAAAGTACGGTAGCTCGACTAATGAAGCGCCATCACCGCACTCGATTTCAACAGATACATGCCCACGACCATGGTTGGCCCAATGGTACGCGCAAGAGCTTTGTAGCCGTTCGGAACCTTGCGCTCAAATCGAAGAACAACTCACCCCGAAACTACCAGGAGGGATAACGAGGATGGCGAACAATATAACAAGAACGACGGCTGCGAGGCGCGCGAGGACGGACGAGGCAAAAAACGCGAAACTATCCTCTGGGACCACCACGGGCTCTCGCTGGACGAACTCCCAGGCTTCCTGGGGAAACGGCGTGAGACAAAGACGAGGATCATGGCGACTGGGACGAGCGGTTTGGAAGGAAGGGTGCATGAACAAGCAGCACCACGAGCAACCGAAGATGAGGGGCCGAAAGTGTGACAGGGGAAACGAACGAGGATGAAGTGGAGGAGGAGGAGGAGCAGCGGGCAGCAGCAGCAGCAGCAGCACGACAGACCGCGAGGCCAGGGAACGGGGGAGGTGTAGCGGACAGGAAAAGCGAGAGCGGGAGTAGAGGGGATGGGCAGAAAAAAGGGAAGGCTGAGCAGGAGGGGGTAACGGAGGAGGGACGCAGGCTAGAATTGCGGGGGCAGGAGGCTGCACGAGAGAAAGCACGGCGGCAATCAGATGTTTATTGCGGGGGTGCTACTTTTCAGACAGCAAGTAGATCAAATTACGTCGCCGCTCGGGCCAAACAGCGGCGGCCCCTCCTCTCTGAGGCGGGATGGCGCGGGCGATCGAACAGCTGTGGCGGAGAAGAGAGGCCAAACGAACAAGGGAGCCAGAACTGCCCAACCACGAGCTCTTCCTTGACTCGGCACGGAGACGACGTCGCTGTCTGACGTGGCGGGCGCGCGAATGAGCACGCGGGCTCATCCACTGCACTGGCGAGCTCGCTCGTGTGGTAAGAGCAGCACTGGGGGAACTCGCGCGACTGAGTGATGATACGCGAGTGACCATGTGACGCATTCTGTGATGTTGGTGTCCTCGGGCCGCAGACGTGATTCCTGTAAGCTCGAAGCTCGGGGTCCACAGCGCTCACTCTGCACGAGGTGCGACGGAGTACCTGTTCTGACACCGGGTCCGCATGATGCTACTTGCGCGCGAAAAAAGCACAAGGTCCTCGTCGAGCTCGGTGAACGGCTGAGCGCCATCCGACAGCGCCGCGGCCGGCACCTCTGGAGGAGGTGGTGCACCCGGCGGGCTCGGCGCCATCGGGAGGGGGGGCCTGGCTGGTAGGCACCGGCCGGGAGTGAGACGCGGCTGCCGCGCGGCGTCCGCACGGAGATGGCGGGCGCGACCAGGAGCGGGAAGGCCCATGAGCCTGAACGTGGCCTTGAGAAACCGGCGGGTCCAGCGCCGCGCGCACTGTCTTGCTCGACTGCTGCAACGGGCTTTCCACTTCGCGCATTTGGGGCCTTCGCGGCGGCGGCGTCATCGGTGCCGGCGGCGGCCCCGCCAGGCCGTCGACTCTGGCTTGCCTGGAGGGGGCGTCGGAGACCGAGCCCGCGGCGCGGCTCGGCCTGCCGTCGATGCGAGTGCCGCATCTTCTGGCGGCGCTACTTCCTCCGTGGATGGCACGGAAGACGAGGGCGTGGGATGCGAGCGGCGCGCGTGGCGGACCTGGGGGCTTCGGCGGCGTGCTCTGATGCGCGGTGACGCGCGCGCGCGCGAGGCAGCAGGCAGCCGCCAGCGCGCGGCGGCGCGCGGCGGGGGTCGGTGCGCGGGCCCGGCGGCGCGCGAGCTACAGTCCGCAGCTAGGCGAGCTTCGGCTGGGCGGCGCGCGAGCCTGCTGCTGAAAAATGGCATCGGTATCGTGAATGCATCTCCCTGGTCCTTCCAACTACTTCTGCGTCCGCTATGTCCGTGCGCGCGCTCGCCTGCGCTCGCGTCGCAGCGATGGCCCACCACTTCAACGTAAGACTAGCGATCGCATGCTCTCCTGAACGCCGCGCTACAGCACGCCCCTAAACCGACATGTGCCACGCGGCAAACCCTCAGACATGAGGATGGGGAAGGACCGATGGTTTAGAGGAGGATGGAGCACCGAGCACCTGGAGCCGCTTTGCGCATGATAGTGCTGGTTGTCGGAGGTCGGCTGGCGCTCGTGCCCTGATGGCTCAGCGAGCTTGCCGGCCGACGTGAGGGCGACTGCGCGCGGCGCGCGTGGCCGCTGACGAATGCCACCGGCCACGTCATGACGGGCAGCTCTACCAACGCTGCCCTCGGCCGGTCCGTCCGCGATCACATCGCGGGTGCCTTCCCGGCCCAGGGCCCACTGGTCGCGGTGAGCCAGAGCACGGGCGGCAATGATGAGTGTTCTGCCGGAGGCTTGGGTCTCGGAGCTGTGACGGCCGTGGCCGCTCCCATCGGATCGAGGCAGAGCTCGACTTGCAGTGCGAGCGACCGTTGGCCCTCTTGTTGGCGAGGTGCCACTTCCGGCCCACGAGGTCCTTCGCGTTCTTCATGGGGGGGGGGGCGGTGGCCAGAGCGAGGCCGCGATCCGCTGAACTGATGGCGGTCATCAGCTCACTTGCGAAGGCGCTTCGTGCATCTGTTCTGAGCGCCCACAATGCCAAACCAGTACATGACGCGTTTGCTCGCCAACGAACGCTCGGTGTGCATCCAGTCTCCGGTGCCCATGCGCAGGAAAGTTGCTCCTCGCAGGGCTCGCCCTGCGTCGGCGCTCTCTTCCTGCTCCCCTCGGAATGCCGCGCCGCTGCGCATGTCGAGCCTCGCGTGCGCTGCGCAGGGTTGGACGGTGGATGCGTAATTAAGGGCTCCCAATTTCGCGCTTCGCGCTGCGCGAAGCGCGAAGTGCGAATAACTTCGCGCTCTCGCGCCGCCTCCCAGGGGAGAAGAGGAGGACGAGGAATCGGAGCCGAACCGCGAAGCGCGAAGCGCGAATAACTTCGCGCCCTCGAGGGCGCCCTTGGTAATGGCGTGGCCTGTGCCCATCTCGCGAGCGTGCTGAGCTTCCGTATGTGGCCGCGCGTTGGCGCCGCCGCGTGGCGCTGACGTGCGACTACATGGACGCGCCGATCGACTCGGGCGATGGGCGTGATTGAAGGGGAACTGGGACACACAAATAAATACACACAAATAAAAAAATCCCCATATTTTCCTATATTTTCTGTGTTTTTGTCTTCCCCCCCACTTCCCATATTTTCCAATATTTTCTCGGGAATGGAGGATTAATTGTGTCTGTGTGTTTTTTCCCCTCCTGAACATCCGTGAGCAGATTGACGAACAATTCGGCCTGGCTCTCCAAAGCGAGCCTGGAGTTGGGTTTGCCAATCAGCTCAGAGCTGCCCATTGGTGTCAGCGCTTGAATGCATTCATCTGGTGTCGCTGACACTCGGGGGGAACGAAGGCGGGGGGGTAGCAAAGGGTAGGGTAGAGAATCAGCCCACGTAGCTGATTTTCCCAGCGCCTCCCAGCGCCGGGAGGCGCCCATGTATCGAGGAATGGGCCCGGCGGCGGGGCCGAAACCAGCTGCACGCAGCAGATTTCGTAACCCCCCCTTTCCCTATCCCCCCCTTTCGTTCGGCCCGAGACACCTGCAGCTCACGTTCACCAACCGCCGGCCCCCGTGCGGGGCCACCGGTCTGCAGGACGACGTTGCTGCTCCCTGCGCCACTTGCAGCTTCAAGTATCCAATGTTACAGTCCTGCTCCTGTTTCCTACTGTCGATTCCCCTATGAGTGCTTGCATTGAAGGGGTCCTAGCGGAAATTGAAAGACTTGCCCAAACGTCCGGGCCGATTTCGGTGGGCGGCCGGGTTCCCGGTCTCCCAGTTCCAGGTTCCCAGGTTCCCAGCTCCAGCTTCGGGGCCGATTTCGGTCGGCGGCGGGGTTCCCGGGTTCCAGGGTTCCTGGTCGATCATCTTATCGATCGGTCTCAGGATCGATCTCATTACCCACCTCTCTATCGATCTCACTATCAATCTCACAATGGATCTCACTATAGATCGCACGAGCGATCTCATGATCGATCTCACGGTCGATCTCATTGAATCGACTTCACTATCGGTCTCACGATCGATAGTGAAGTCGATTCAATGGGATTATATTTTATCCTCACACTCGTCCTCACTATCGATTATATTCTCGACCTCACAATAGATCTCATTATCCATAGCACTAATTTTCACACTATCCACTGATTGGTCTTTATTCTCTGGTGTCATGATTAAATCCGCGCGAGGGGGGGGCCCAAACCGGCAACCCGGATCGCGTTGCCTAACTTCCCGGGGGGGCGTGAGATACGCATATATATATATATATATAATATATATATATATATATATATATATATATATACATATATATATATATATATATGAGTATCGTGCCCCCGAGACCATAATTACGAGTACATTCTGCAAGATTCCCGTCCCCGAGGCCAGTAACCTTTGCAAACTACGCAAGGCGCCCGAAGATGCTTCCAAGACGGCCCCAAGTCAACGCCACCCAGGACAGCGCTTCGTGGCCCCATAGGGAGCTCCACCGAAGTCGGCACCCACAGGACCCCAAGAGCGCTCCAAGAGCCCTCCCGTGATAGCCCCAAGAGGCCAACATCGTCGATGTTACGAAGGTGTTTGAAGGATTTTGGCATTCTCGCATGTTCGGCTTTTCGACGCTCCAAGACGGCTCAAGAAGCTCCCAAGACCGCCTCCAAGACAGCCCGAGAGGCATCCAAGAGGGCCCCATGACGGCACGAGAGGGCTCCAAGATTGCCCACGAAGCGCTCAAGACGGCCCAAGAGAGCCCCAAGAGGAGCCACAAACCGAACATTCTATATGTGTGCCCCAGAAGCCAAAATCGCAAAATTTAATGAGGTCTTTGAAAGATGTTGGCTGTCTCGCATTTGCAGCTTTCCGACGCTCCAAGACGGCTCAAGAAGCTCCCAAGACCGCCCCAGGACAGCCCAAGACGCCTCCAAGAGGGCCCCAAATCGGCCCAAGAGGGCTCTAAGATGGCTCAAGAAGCGCTCCGTGAAGCCACCTGCATGCCCCAAGAGGCCGCCAAGAGGCCCCAAGAGGCGCCCAAGACGCGCCCAAGAGGCCTCCAAGAGGCTGAAAATATACCCCTCGAGGCCCCCAAGAGGCGCCCAAACCGACTCCAAGAGGCCCCCGAGAGGACCCCAACGACATCCCGACACACATACAAGAGGCCTCAGACCCAGAACTCAAGGCAGCGCCGAGACGCACCGACGCGACTCTGATATATATATATATATATATATATATATGTATATAT